CAGTGACAGCACGACTTGTTCCTTCTCCTTTCAGCAGGTCCGCATGCTGGGCAGTCCCAGCCTCTCATCCTCCATGCTGAATAGAACCACGGGGCTCTGGCTCCACAGAGATAGTGTTATCTGGGCCACCACGGGGCTCCAATCGCAGCCGTGTACACACACTCCCAGCGGGCAGCACACACATCACCAGGAGTACAGACAAAGAAGCCCGTGGACCAACACAAACATTGCAGGCGTATAATGTAACGACACACACCGACATGTGCACAGGGTCGCAGACAAACAGAGCCAAATGTGAATTCACACATTTGCACACACACACACACATAGGATTGAGCACAATGGATGGCTTTTTCCACTTCACTGTGAAAGTGACACTGATCTTTCCCCTCCTGCTTTCAGGCAGAGATTTTATTGGTATAAACTTGCCTTTGACTCTCATAGTAGCTGCATGTTGATCAGCTGAGGTGATTTTCTCAAATGCGGGGTGGTCACCGGTCACACGCCTCAGCCTTAAATCTGGCCGTAGTCCCCGCTGTTTTAAGGAATCCGAGTTATTCCACCCATTCCTGGAGATCTCCACACATGACCTGTCGCTATTGGGAGCCGTGAGCCAGAGGGATGGAGATAAGCCCGTTTTCGCCTTTTACTCCAGCAATTTCAATTAAAAAGAGATTTGAGGTGGAAAAGCACATTTTCATACAGGGCATTCAAACAAAATCCTGGAAAAGGTTGAAATGAGATGTGGCGCTAAGTTATGAGGGCTTTTTCTAACTGCTACAGACACATCTCTTTCTGGGGAGAATGGGCCGTGTAGTTTTCAACAGGCTTGACTTTATAAATGTGACGCTCCTACTGTCTCCTTCTGTAGTTCTTATTTTCACAACACTATTGCCACTATACAATAATGTATATCATATATAATACAAATCCCATAAAATAGATGCATATTGATTCGAAGATATATATGCATATCTAGGAATTTTAACATGAGGCTTTCTTAATTGTGTGTGCACAAAATTGCACATTAGAATGCTTTGTAACAGTACAATATATTTAATTTCCATAATCATTTGGAGTTGACAAAAGTGTTGATTAGAGAATTGTTGTTTGTCCTCTCATTACACTAATTTGACCCTGAAACCCACAATCAACACATTTAATTAGCTGCAAAGACTGTGAACTTGCCACAAACACAGATGCAATCACTGTACTTTGCATAGCATGCCAGTGACTTATCGTTTTTTAAACCTTTTGAGCTCTTATGCATTGAGAGTCCTCAAAGTTGTCCAGCACCTACAGATCATTCCTAATTTCAGGCCTCCAGGGTTTGAAAAACTTAGCCTCATCAGTACTATTTTTTAAATGCATTTATAAAGCGTCTAAACGCTGACTCCAGATCAGCTAAATTCTCATCTTGTTTCACTAGCAGGTTAATTTCTTTTTCACTTGGCCCGATACTTGATTTATATTTAGCATGCTTTGCTCAGTATATCATGTTGAGCAGTCATTATGGCTGTATTAGCAATCCCAAGTTAGCATGTAGCCCAGGTCAAATGCTAACGCATGCTTTTAGCACAAGACACCCAGTTTTAACTTCAAAGTCTAAGCAAAATCAGAAGAAGCCTTAAAGTCTCTACTTTATGGAATAAAAACAAAAAGGTTATAAAGGATGAATCGATTATATCTGTTCGCAGCATGAGGTTTCTTTATTTTTAGCAATAAAACTGATCCACAAGCATCTACCTAACCTGTATCTTGACTTAAATAAGAGCTAGGTATTCTTTGCGCTGAGATGATCAAACATCTGCACCATCAGACAGCAGCAGGATCTATACGAGCGTCTCCTTTAGAACTGAAGTAGTCGTTTCTTTATTAAAGTGGGCATTCTGCAATCCTCTACAGAGCAGAGCTGTTCAGTAGAGACTCCAGAGCTCTGGGTTGGCTTATTTCCCAGTTAACCACATTTTAATGGGTATCCATACAGGAAGTTATTCACAGCAACATGGCAGCTCGAGACCACAGACTGTCAATGACATTTAACTGCTGGCAATTTGAAGAACGCTTGTCCTGTGTTAAAGTTTTCTCATCTTTGAGGCAAGCAATTGAAGTGACTGCCACAATGACAGGGAGGGATACTGCTGATTGACATCTGACAGGGTGATAGATACATTTGAGGGTTACCTGGGCAACTGGATTATGGAAATTCCACCAGTGACAGACCAGCAACAAGAAATATGCTGTGGACACGCTGTGGCTGTGGAACTTAAGAAGAATGGGTGGCTGTAGGTGATGGTAATACCTCCAACCTCATCAGCACCAGCACTGGATTATATTCTAATGGTGAAATTTTTAATACCACAGCTGTTCCAGTATGTTGCTTATACTGCAAAGAACACACTGTTGAGCCTTATTCATAGACCCTTACTGTACAGTTAAGGGGAATGCGTAACATAGAATAAGACAGGAAGATAATATGCAGAAGTTCATGCACTCAAAGGCCAATCACATGGTAGGAACTCAATATGTTTAGGCACGTACACATGGTCAAGAATCAGAATGATAAATAAAGGTGATTTAAGTAACTTTGAATGTGACTTGGTTGTTGGTGTCAGCTGATCAACCATCTCTAGGATTTACACAGGATGGTCCAAAAAAGTGTAAATGTCCAGTGAGCGGCAGTTCTGTGTGCAAAAATGCTTTATTGATGCCAGAGGTCAAAGGGAAATGGCCGGACTGCTTCAAGCTGACAGTAAGGCAGCAGTAACTCAAATAACCACTTGCTACAAACAGAGTAGACGGAAGAACATCTCCAAACATGTCAAACCTTGAAGCAGATGGGCTACACTCAGCTAAGATGAGGAAACTTGGGCTACAATTAGAACTGGCGCACCAAAATTGGACAACAGATGATTGGAAATTATGTTACCTGGTCTGATGAGTCGATTATGGTAGATTGAAAATATGGTGTAAACAACATGAAAGCATGGATCTCTCCTACCTTGTATCAGTGGTTCAGACTGGTGGCGGTAGTGCAGTGCTGTGGGAGCTTATTTTCTTGGCACACTTTAGGCCTCTTAGTACTAACTTGTAAATGCTGCAACCTAACTGAATATTGTTGTTGACCATGTCCATTGCTTTATGACCTCAGACTGGTTCTTTGAACTTGACAAAGAGTTCACTGTACTCAAATGTCCTCCACAGTCAGCAGATCTCAATCCATTAGAGCACCTTTGGAATGTGGTGGAACTTATGTCAATGAGGAATAAAACCTCTGAGAAATGTTTCCAGCACCTTGTTCAATCGATGAACAATTAAAACAGTTCTGAAGGCAAAGGGGGACCAAACAGGGACTAGCGAGGTGCTTCTCTGCAGTGAGTGCAATGATATAAACATACTTTTTATATTTATGGGGATGTCATCATAGCTTTTGTTCATAAAACTGATCATTTCCCACTTTATGACCAAACATATTAGCTATTTTTTTGGTCTGTTCGGGTTTCTTTGCATTTCAATAACATGACCAATAGTTCCTAGATTGTAAGATAGAGCTTGACCCCTGTTCATCCAATGACCACACTGCAGAGTTTGGCTTGATTGTTGCATACTGAAAAAAAGCAAGCAAAGACTCAAAACATGGTCAGCTTCATGGGTTACTGGCAGCTTCCTCCCAGAAGGTTTTGCTATGATAATGATTAATTTATATCCTCTTCAACCTCATTTAGAGTTAAAACCGCAGTGCCATTAGCTACTCAGCAAAATGAATATTATGTGAAAAAAGGTTGTCTAAAGGTAGAATGAGCTATTATCTTATGTTTGCTGTACAGGTGTTCATGCTATTATATCTACCCGGGTATGTTTCAAATGCCAGGCAAGTGCAGGCCTGTCTGGACTGATTAATGATAAACCCTGATAGACCTTTTATCTGTTGATTGCACACACACACACACACACACACACACACACACACACACACACACACACACACACACACACACACACACACACACCTCTAACTCAAACAATAATCCTGACCACCCTGCTATGTTGCTCACCGCCACGTGTTGGTGTTTTAAGATATTTCAAGTAAAGGATGATTTCTTTAATTGACACCATTTATTGCATTAAGGCATGATTGCATTTTCAAACAGCTTAAAAAATGTACAAATGAAATAACATGGTAAGATTAAAGAGGTCATGTCACCCACCATAATGATACAATAAGAAAGTCTGGCCATTAACTGATGAATTTATGCATCTGTCCCTAAACCCTCCTCCAAGATTTCTGATTGGATTTCTTTTAAACAAACCTCACAAATTAAAGAAAAGTAAAACCTACACTAATGTAATCAATAAGGTCAAAAGAATCCATCACCCTGTGATCGAAAACAGAACTCTGAGAAAACTCCAAGTTAGCTCCAAATCCTCTCACACAAGATCCATGTGCTGTGAGGGCACAACAGAGACGAGACACTTGGGAAAAATTCAGAAGTACAGGGAGTCCATAGGCCTCTATCATCAGGCTAAAGACTGATTTTCAAATCGTCAGCACAATGTGCTCGTTCCCACCTGATTTAAAAAAAAAAAAAAGTACATTAGAAAGCAAACACCAGCGTTCTAACAATGCCAGTGACACTGATGTTATTAAATCTGCTCCTTAAAACAATCTCAGCTGCAACTCTGCCAAATGTGGCGCAACAGAACTGAAGCACAACAAATGCTACATCCATTTTAATCCTGGTGGTAGGCGGCCTCTTCGCCGTATGTGCTTGGCAGCCTTTCAAAAATGGCGGCTTGGCTGCTTCTTAATAACAGAGACGGCCCGGTAGTGGTGGGAAGGGTTAATCGTCACAGAAACTCCAATAAGCTGCATATCAACAAATTTGGCGGAATATTGTTTTATAAAAAATCCCTATATATATATATATATATATATATATATATATATATATATATATATATATGAAGGAAAAGAGAACAACAAACAAGCGCTTGCCAGTTTGACTTATTGCAGTGTCGAGTTCATTTGCAACACATGTGCATTGTTTTAATCATGTGGTCAGTAAATGTTCGAAAGTATGACTTTAATACCGTAAAAAATTAAACTAAACATCTTGAACATAAGCTGTCTTTCTTTCCTAGGAACTGCTGCCTATCAAAGTGCATAATGTCCCATTTCATGACCCACCAACTGCTCCGGTTTTAGCATTGCAATACATAACTGTAGACAAATGGCAAATGATCTTGCCTAGCTTCATGCTATATACTTATATATCTATATGTATATATAGATATATATATATTAAATTGACTATATAACAGCATCTTAAATGAATGAGTTCTAATCTCTTACAACGATTTTTTTTTTCCTTCTGTCTCCATTTTTGCTCCTTCATCCTACATTATCACACAACATGAACAATTGAGATGAATGGCTGATTTCACTGCATGTTAGTTAAAAAAAGAGTTAATGCTAATGTAGCACAATAGAATCCAGTATGTCAGTCCTGTAGTGACAGTGCTTTCTCAATAAGCTCAGAGGGACGAGAAGCTGCAGTCCGGCCGGGTTCAACGCTCATCCTTGTATTCAACCTCCACCAAATCCAATTTAAAGGGTGAGCATTTGTCTCTTCTTCATCATCCTTCCTCCTTCTATTCCTTCTACGCTGTGATATGAGTACATCTGAAAATTGAATTTGGTACATAAAAGTCTTTCTGTTCTTTTTGTCAGTTCTCTTATTGTTTGAGTATCAGTGCTGCGTCATGCGGCATGCTGCTCCCTGTAAACTGACAGGGAAGACAATGGAAGTCTATGCCAGGTAATGATCAATAATCATCCAACAAGCTTTAAAGTCTTTTTAAGGGAAGAAAAAGTGACAAATTAAAAATGCAGAGTGCACTGCAGTAGAACTGAGGGATGGGATATGATTGTAAAATGGGGCTGTAGCTCTAACTTTTATCCTTAAAGATAATACAGACCACATGGACCAGCAATCAGAGAGGTCATTGAATGTAAAAAAACAAAACAAAAAACACCAAAATATCAAATAGAAGTCAGTGTGGTTAGGGTCAAAGGTCACAGGTAGCTCTCCACTCGTTCCCATGGCTGCATCTCTGTGAAGAAGCCCTCGCACAGGCTGAAGCCCTGATCCAGAGTCAGCGGAATAGCCTGTGCCTCCTCTTTTATCTCCTCCCATGTTTGCAGCATCGCTTCTTCTGGCTGCTCCGGGAAGAGGATGGAGGGCTCGTCGAAATGCTGCAGCTGCAGCTGATGGTGGTGGTGGTGTTGGTGGTGGCTCTGGAGCAAGCGATCTGGGTCCAGCTGCTGCTGCTGTGGCTGCGGATGTGCGTGAGGCACGTGGAGCTCTCCCATGCTGACCGTACACTCCATGGAAGCAGCGCTTAGGTCCATGTAGCCATAGGATTGGTGATGAAGGTTCATGTGCTGGCTCTGACCCATAACGTCCACTCCTCCACACCATCTCCCCTGCCTGCCCGGCCCAGCGAGCTCCATCTCGCAGCCCAGGGAGCTCAGCGCCGTGTTGATGTCCAGATCTTCGAAGGTGCTGCAGCTACCGCCGAGGACGTCGTCAAACACGGAGGACAGGTCAAAGTCCCCTCTCAGGACGTCTGCCTTGTTGGCCTCTGTGGCTAGCAGAGGGGACTCCGTGGCCCTCATAACCTTACTGTTGCTGTTTTTTGAGGGCAGGTGCTTCCGTTTGCCTCCCGCGCCCTGGTAGGGGCAGCCGTTTTGGCTGGCGTGGTAACTCTGAACTAGTTTGCTCTGCCTGTGGGCACCGCTGTTGGTTCCGCTGCCGCTGCTGTAGTGGTTGGCAGACATCCTCCTGCGCTTGAAGATGCCATTGACAAACATGTCAGCATACTGAGGATCAATCTGCCAGAAGCCTCCCTTTCCTGGCTCGTCCTTCTGTCTGGGGACCTTCTTGAAACACTTGTTGAGGGACAGGTTGTGACGAATCGAGTTCTGTAACACACACACAGGAACACAACGTGATTTAGCGTGGACCCCATCGGCTTTGAGCAAATTTAAGTCAGTCATGCAAAAAAAACTGAACATGCCACTTTGAGAGGGAGATGGGCAGGTGGGTGTTGGGGAGGTGGGGCGGCGGGGGTGGGCATTGTTGTTGTTTGTATGGGGAAGCAAATGTACCTAATGAGGCTTTCTAGTAACAGGCAGCTCTGTGCATTTCAAACATGATCAGCTGTGCTTAGCTGCCATCTCTCTCAGGAGCCCTCATTAACACGCACGCACACACACACACAGATTGGAGTGCTTTCTCCACCCCATCACCGTTCCCTTCAGACAAAAACCCTGCGAAGAGCACTGTCTAGGAGGATGGAAATTTCAGATGGATTAAAAACACTTGTCATGGAACTCATCAAAGGCAGAAATGAGACACTAATCCTGCAAAGAGACAGAGAAGGGGGGTCTGAGGTTTTCAATTATTATAATTTAAGTTCCCCCCACACACACTGATAAAACAAAGGCCTCGTCTGATCTCCTGTGGCCTGAATATGCCGTGTATGGTGGTGACACTGAAGTCAAATTGCTGGCCCTTCTCTCCCTCACTCCACCATTTAGCAGATTCATAAATAATAGAAGAAGAGTTATCCGGTCTCTGTTACCTGCCAGCTGGGCTCCGCGTGTCTGTAGTAGCAGAAATTCTCCGTGATCCAGTTATAAATGGTGGACAGAGTCACTTTGGGCTGCTTGCTGGCCTGCATGGCCATGCAGATGAGAGAGGCGTAGGAATAGGGCGGCTTGACTTTGGGGTTGGTTTTGTAGTCGATCTCCACCGGCGGGCTCGGCTGAATCGGGATCTGCGGGTAGGCGGGCGTGGGGTGCGCGCCGCAGGGAAACCGCGGAGCCGCCGCGGTGGAGTCGCTGCCAGAGGTGACGGGGCTCCCGAGATACAGAGGCATCCCGGTTGCGGCGGTGTCCCCGGCTGGGGGGCTGGAAGGAGAGTCGGTGCCCGGTCCGGGGAAGGCGAGGCGTTTGATGAAGAGGTGCTGCTGCGAGGACGGACACTCGAGTCCCGCGCCGCTGGGACGCTCCGGGTCTGCGCTGAGGATGGAGAAATTCTGGAGCCAGTGGAGGCTGGTGAGGCTGTCGTCAAGGGGGGCAGACTCAGACCCAGAGACGTGATCTTCCGGGTAAGCCGCCAGCCATCTCTCCTTAAACTTGTTGGCGATGTCGGGGCTCGTCAACACCGGCATCCTGGCTTTGTACACGCGGCAGAGGCTGAAGACTGTCAGAGGCTCCTTAAAACTGGCATTTAAAGTTCAGCGCTGTCTCAAGGCGAGAGGAAAAGTAAAGGAAAAGAGCGCAAACACGGTCAGATAAACAGATCAAACCGTGCCTCGCGTAAAGGTGTCGAATGGATAATCAGCAATTAGATATTTGCGAGCATAACACTCAGAATGCGATCAATAAATGTGCTAAAGATGCCCGTTTGACCTACCTGCGATGTAGCCTCGCTGGAGGAGATGCTCCGTGTGTGCACCTGTTGCAGTGAGTCCCTGCCTCTCCTCTCCAAGGACTCAGCGGCGCATCCACTCTCTGCGCAACAAGTGCGGCGGGGAGGGTGGGGGCGAAGAGCATCCAGCAGCTGAGGCAAGCTCACATGGAGGAAAAAAAAACAAAACATACAGAAGAGAGGCGGCACTTAGGACAGATCCATGCTACCGATTCGACCGCTCGGCACTACTGGAGTGTGGAGGGAGGTCAAAGACGTGAGGAGGTGTAGCGGTTGTGAAATAAGTCTCCGTAAAATCTCCAGGGACTGCTCACTATCCCTTTAAATGCGGTCTCGGGGAGAGATTTCTGATTGGTTGGCTGTATATCATGGCTTCTCGCCTTTACTTCAGGTCTCTCTCTCTCCCTCTCCCTCTAAAGACGTCCCCAGCAATGACTGTCAGAACACGAGTGGGGTTGGTGCACGCAGGCTGCGGTGCAATAAGGTCAGTTTAGTGGTTTCCTGTTTGTCTTTATTCTAGGAAGCAGGCTAAAACTGTGACACCCCCCACCTCCACCTCCTGCGCGCGCCTCACACACAGCATCCCCGCCGGCGCTGAAAGAGGCGCGCCACAGGTCCCGCGCGCAGTTTGCACCTGCAAAGAAAGCAGCAGTTAACTGATAAGCTCACGCTTCACGTAGCTTTTTTAATTACAGCTGATACTGTGGTGCTGTCAAGTTTGAAAAGGACACTGTTTAATCTGGCTTTAACCTGATGTGTGTTACTGGAAATGTTGATATCGATCAACATGTCGAGTAAATACAGAGCAAATATTGCAATACAGATACCGATACTTCTAACCGATGGCAGCTTACCTACGGGAGAGCGGTGCTGCATGACTTGCCAGATGAATCATAATCAGTTTTTCAAATTCTGAGTACATTTTAAGCACCATTAAATGACTGTGAGTTTTACTTTCCACAATAATTTGTTAATACAACAAAACACACCTTTTAGCTCTTCGTGTATTTTGAAACTAGGTTTTTTGGATATCTAAAATGTAAATATAGAAGCAGTTTGGGTCAGCTTCTGTTGTTTAATTGTGATGTGGACTATAAATCAAATAGATATTACAGCATAAAAAGGATCAGACATTTCTCATAGTGCATGTTTGAGGTATACTTTTTCAAACCTTCCCCCAAGAAAAAGAAAAAAATATTTTATTTAACGCAGTTCAGTGGGCTGCATACTGAATTTAGTGGATAGAAACAAGGTATCATGCTAGTATCGATCCAATACCGTGTTAATATCGATACTATTGATATGTGTATCTGTCAACTGCCACTGTTTGTTTTCTGGTGTTCTGCTCAGTGATGCATCACCACAGGTTCAGAGTATTCACTGGACTCTCATCAGACAGAAAAAATGAATGGATGGTTGTTTTTCTGCAGGTTTTGTTTTGCCCTCCAGGGAGTTTAAAATTATTTCTAAAAGGTTCTGCAAAATATGCACAAAATATTTTAATACTTTAATCAAGTGGCAGTATAAACCTAGATCTGTAAAGCCTAAAGTGATATTCATTGATTACTGTATCATTTTATGCATGCATATGTTTAGAGTAAGGTGCATAGAGCTTTCACACACACTGTGAATATTTTAAAATATGTGTGTGTGTGTGTGTGTGTGCTGTAGTCACATTCTGCGCAGGTTAAAAAATATTAGAGACCAATGTTTTTCAACTGTATGCAGAAGAGCATATTTGAATCATGAGGAAGCACTGCCTCCCCGTGGACCAATTCTGCATTGCACCTACAAACCAAATACAGGTAGAATGAATGGAAGAAAGCAAGCACTGATCACTTTCTGTTGGGGTACACTTTTCTTCCCCTTTTTTATTGTCACAGGCTCACGGAGTATCATGCAAAACTGTTTTGCAAAATGTGTGAAAGACTGGGACAGGGTTGGCAACGTATCTTTCTCTTGAAACATTGGATGCAAGTACCTGGGAATGTGAGGGAAAAAAAACTGTAATTAAACCTTGCATGTTACATCATTAATGGCATATTGCATGATTAATGGTCAACAGAGGCAATTTTACCACTGCTGTGGCCTGCATGCATTAATGATTTTCCTTAAATCCTGGGAATATTTTCAACAGTATGCAGAGCTAGCTAAATCTCTTCCTCCTCCTCCTCTGACTTACTTTAGCAACACATCTGCGTGAAGCTTGAACATTTGGAGTCCAGAGGCCGACAAGAGCTAGCACCAGCAAGCCCTTCAGGCTCTACAAAGCTTGTAGAGCCTGTGCATGTAGGCCAGGTGTCACATCTCTTCAAGGAAGCCTGATTTCTATAATGTTTCAGGTTTATTTAGGATCTTGACAAAGGGCTTGCTGGTGAGACAGGGAAATGTTTGTACAGCTGTCCTTATTGTTGCCAGGATTCCCACTGTCCCTCAGCAGAACCAAAGCACACATCTCAAGGGCTGAGATGTGTGCTGAGTTCAGTAATTCCCTGAACTGAAGTCCCCCACTTTGACTCAACAACCTAACATTACCAACATTTTGTTTTTAACACTGCAGGTCTTCCTGTATCCTTAAAGAGGACCTGTTGTCCATCTTCTTATGTCCTGTAGTAGTATGGAACATAACTCTACATATACACTGATGGAAGCTCATATTAAACATGGCTAAAGCTTTAAATAGTCAGTAATAGTCAGTTTTCTACCCATTTAATCTATGCCATGCTAAAACTTCCAGTTTCAGACAGTGGACAGACAGAAGTGCTGCATCACTGCACTGCCCAGCATAATATAAATAAGGATCATTTTCATGTGTGAATCACACAAACAATCTAAGGATAAAAATATTTAGAAATGATAACAAAGGATCTCAGTACTGTAGCTGTACTTTAACTAACTTCAGTTTCTTTTTTTAAAACTTCCTTTGACCAGAAGGTGTCTCTGTTTCCACTCTTTGCTCCATCAAACAGCCACAGCTGCTACAAACAAATGTTTACAGTTTACATCCATCCATTCGCTTCCGCTTATCGTTTTTCAGGTCCGTGGGGGGCGCTGGAGCCTATGCCAGCTGTCTTAGTGCGAGAGGCAGGGTACACCGTGGACAGGTCGCCAGTCTGTCGCAGCAGGACTAACACATATACACAGACAACCATATGTACTCACATTCACTCTCTTTGGGCAATTTAGAGTTTCCAATTCTTTGGACTGTGAGAGGAAGCTGGGGAGAGAACATGCAAACTCCACACAGAAAGACCCCGCTTGATGGTGGAATTGAGCTCAGGACCTTCTTACTGTGAGGCACCGTGCTGCCCTTACAGTTTACACTTACCCACAATTCCAAGCGCCGTGTGTGATATCCGAAAGCTTGTTTTACACACAGTCTGCACTAAATCTGATGTTTTAGAAGTATGCTGCCTTTGCACACTCTAATCCGCCCACGTAGTTGCTCATTTATTGCCTTTGACTTAAATGCTGAGCGCAAACCAGACGGGAGTGTTTCCAGTCATTTAATCGGCCCAGTGTAACTACCCTAATAATCTATTGTTTATTCATTGTCACAGAAACCAGGACTCGACTGCGTTCTCACATTATTTCATATTAATTTCATTTGTTTAGAGATTTGAAATTATACCCTCATTATTGTGGTAACGGATATCTACTGAATAACTACATGTGGATTTAAAAAACAAAACAAAACACAGTGTCCTGTTTACTAAAAATAATGAAATGCTACCGATTAACTAACCTGTTGGCAAGTCCTTGGGCAAGTGAAAGGGAAAAAAAGGGAATTTGCCCTGCAACCCATCAATGTAAACAGAGACTGTTATTTCAACAAAGGAGAAATGAGGATGCGAAAGGCTGTAGTACCGCCGCAGTCCGCACTGATACGCTGCGGCACTGATATGACACACACACACACAAACACACAAACGTGAGAGGTAGTTTTGTGAGAAACTGCCCAGAGCAGACACGACGCTATTCACCCACGGCTGTCGACTGTCCCGAATTTAACTCGGAGCGATGTAATTGGCGATGGTGGATTTGTTTACCATATTTGGCGAGGTAGCGACACAGCGAACCTGGGAATTGGACGAGAGCGGCCGTCATTCACAAAAAGCCTCGCCTTCTGGAACTTTACAAACAAAGCGCGTGCTCACGGGATTTGTAGTCCAAAACAAACCCTTTCTGAGATTCCTGCGGTGTGAGGTTAACCCCCGTTCGCGACGAATTTCGCACTGTGGGTGTGCCGTGTTTTCAAACCTTTTTACAAATGTGAACTGTTTTCGTTTAATGTGCGCGTAGGTGTCAAAATTAACCGGAAGCAGCCGGATAAACACACGCCGAAACGAGACCCTTCCCTTGCGGCATACAAGTCCCACCGGCGGTGCTCTCACGTGATTGGCTGCGTGCTTTTGTCAATCAAGTCTGGTTCCTTCCACTACCGCTCCTACAGTAAATATTTGTGTTTGCTCAACCGGCTGTAATGGTGGACGACTGAGGCAGAGGGAACGGAATACAACTCGAGTGAAGAAAGAGGAAAAAACGGTCGAAAGTCTGCTTCAGAGCCAGCCGCCGCGAGTAGGACACGGGCTTCGTCGAAAATGGATGAACTCAAACATCAAGTCATGATTAACCAGTTCGTCCTGACGGCGGGTTGTGCGGCAGACCAAGCGAAGCAGCTTTTGCAAGCGGCACATTGGCAGTTCGAGGTAAAGGAGTGTGGGGGGGAGCCAGAAAAGAAAATAAAGCTCGAGCGCCTTAACGTTAGCAGCCACACGGCTAATGTTTACGTCTCACCCACTGCTAGCTTTCATTTAAGCGTGTCTGCATACCCTTACCCATATTTATTTTTTAATTTTTTATGTCTTTTAAGCTTTTTAAAACTAAACAAAGCGCTAGTGTTACCCCCTCCCTCTTTTTTTAATGTGGCTACTTTCATGCTATAACTTTGGCTGTATTTAAAGTAGAGCTATCTGTGCTTTAGCTGAAGTAAATCCGTTGAGAGTACACAGTAACGCAGTACAGCTATCCAATTAGACCTCACTCTAGATTAAATACTATAATCCGATACATGACAGCAGTGAACAGGCGAGGCTAGAGTACTATTACGCAATAAAGATGACCGCCGTGTTGTATCGACTAGCCTACAAAGGACTACTTTGGTACATTATAGTCTGCGCTCAGTCGGCCATAGATCAAGCTGTACTTTTCTTTTTTCTCTTCACAACACGCTCGTTGTATTGTGTCATAAAAACGCGCATTACAGCAGAAATTGCCCGGTAGCTGTGTTTCTTGCTTCTGGCTGCCGGTTAAAAAATGTCATTT